GTTCGTTTTCGACCTTTCCATAATGTTCATATGCATTCAAACAGAAACAAGATGAGAAATCATTATTATCAGAGATGGATTATTGTACATTTTATGGACTATTATAAGCTGAGAGTGAAACATAGTTCGTTACAGTGGATAGACTTCTTGCTATCATGATATTAACGTTTTGATCTTTCTATTTGAAGAATATTAACATACAATCATTTATTATAGATAGAACTTTCATGTACAAGCCACAAATTTTCTTAAGAAGTCATTGATATTCAATTAAGGATGGATCCTATTGATTCCATCGCGTATCATTAATTAGAGATTAGTGACATCCGAAATGACGAACAACGTTGTTGATTTGAGATCACTACTACTGTCTTTGCATCGTTTCAATGTGCGAAAACTATAAATTGCACTAATGAAGATTGTTTATTGAAAGATTCGTAAAAGTACGGGTTCCAAAATAGATTGTAGAAAGGTGAATATACATCTTGTTGGATCATAGATACATGAACTAATCGGTCTTATTGGCATATATAAGGTCTGTTAGAAGATGTCATCAATATAGTTTCAGCATTTATTTAGATTTTTTTGGACATATTTGCTATAGTTAACGAAGGAAGATCCTCAAGTGTTCTGGAGGTGCTACATTACATGAAGCCAGTAAAAGCATCAGGAATACATTAACATGCTAGAAAATCTATTCGAATTATTGATGCTTTTATTTTTAAACAAAATGATCCAGATTCAATTCTTAAATGAGTTAATGTGACACATAATCAATTTAATATTGTTAAAGATCATTATTCATTAGGTAGTCTTTATGAAGTTGTAATGGCTTTCTTGCTAATCAAATAGATATTTAGATTGTTCATTTAATTGTACATGAAGTTTCACATAATGGTAAATCCGTTGAATTATTAAGTAAATGTAATATTGATGCATAATTTATTGTTGATGATGTTGAAAAGCTTATTGGAAATTAAAGATGAACAAAAAATATAACGAAAACTAAGTTAAAAAAAAAAAAAGAAGAAATATTTCTGTGTATTTGTCATAATTTATTTGTTTAAAATACAAATTAATGATTTTTAACTGTTATTTCATTAATTTATTGAGCAAAGTGGAAAGACATCACATGACTGAAATTAGTTGATATATCAATCAGTCACGCTGGTATCTTGCCATATCGCTGCAAAATTTATCGAATAGAGAATATATTCTTACCGATATTTAGATTTCAAATGATGAAAGGCTAGTACTTTTTTTTTTTTTGTTGATGTTTGTTTTATCATTAGTTGAAGAAGAGAACGAGAATGAAAATGAAAGATCTTTTTCTTTTTGCTGTGCGTTCGTTTGATGATCAATAATGTATATTGTGTCTGACCCAAATGGCAGCGGAATGTGCTTTTTAGTGACGATGATTCTTTTCGAGCTGTTTCGTCTGACTGATGGGTGAGCACTAATGCGACACATTTGAATCGAATCTATTCGGATATACACATTTATATATGTGGATATACATCGACGATAATGTGAAGTTCCGTCAATATCCGAGAAAAACGAACGAATAATAGGACGATGACGGTACCGTTTTCTTATGCTTACTCACATTTCAATATTGATTCTATTAAAAGTGTAAGCGAACGAGTAAAATGAGAGCCTTTCTTTTTATTTCGTACTCTCTCTCTCTCTCTGTCATATATTACGAGCAGAAGAAAGAACTCAAATTTCTCTATCAACCATTTTCTATTAGATATATGTCAATGGAGGTTTTCTCATTTCACATATCCTTTTTGCTAGTATATTGAAATATATTTGAGCATTTTTTTTTCGTGGAATAATTTCCTTTATGAAATGAAAAAACAATCAAAAAACAGATGAAACTCTCGGTATATTTGAATCGTATTAATTCATCGATTCCATGTAAATTCTTTTGAAACAATATACAGTAATGAATATGATTGTTTTTCTTTTTATCAATCGAAATAATTTTCTTTTACTATAACATTTTATTAACTTGGTTCAATAGTTTTTGATAGTTTACTATTGACTGTCGAAAGCTAAAAATAAAAATAAATATGAATAATAATATTTCCTACAGTTGAACAATAAAAAACATATTATACCTCACTTATATTTGATGATGGACTGAGTTCAGTTGATGAATCTTGCTAAATTAGAAAGAAAATTTATTTTAAAAGTTTTAAATAATAATAAAAGAAATATGAAAGTTTATTATTATTCATTTAAAGAGATTCAATATATCAAAATTTCTATATCAATGTATTTCTAATTGATTGTTTTTTCATATCTATTAGATGCCGATCATCACTTATTTAAAATTGTTCCTTAAGATTCACACTCACATCCTTCTATAAATAGATGAGCATTTTTTGAGAATTTTTCGAGGTATTGAACTTGTTATCCTTTTTCTTCGTATAAAAATTGAACATTTAGAAAAAGATACTGCAGTCTGACATGTTCTTTCAAATAAAAAAAACATTTAGTCTATAGAATGAAGGATCAGAGAGAATTTTGGGTTATTAAATAAATTATTTTTGACCCTTGTTTATTGAATATCTCCAAAAAACATCGTGATATAGGACTGAAAATTTAATGCGATTTGAATACATCTAGTCCAAGATCAATTTTTGAAGGAAAACTTGAACCAAAATAAGTAAAAGATATAAAGCTTATTATTATCAATGCTAAACACATCAAGATTCCATAATAATTTTCTAATTAGTTAAGACTTTCTACTTAGGGCACACTAAAAGTAGTAACACATGTGCTTCAATATCCTATAGAAAATTCAAGAAAATTTTCTTTTTATGTATACTGATAGTAAAAACAGTACTCTATATTTTCTTCCATTAATATTTCGATAAGAGTTGATTATTATGATATGTGATAATAACAACAGATCATAATGTGTTCGTTGTGTATCCTTTTCATGATCTACTCTTTGTTCTTCTGGGACTCTATGCATTATGTAGATCCATATAAGTTACGAATACCCTGAAAAGAGTTCGTGCTCGTTGCTTATTGTCATAGAGGCAGATCTTAACAAGAATAGTTTGTTACGAATGTTTCATGGCTTTTGATTTGTTTCTATCCTGAAATAAGAACATCAAATTTGCCGGTTTATATGAGCGATATGAAAGACAAGCTATTATCATAGTTGTATCTTAGGATAGAAACAGCAGCTAGATCTGAAACTTTCACAAGAAATTATTCTCGTCAAGGTCTATCTCTATGTTAAGTTTCAAGTTGAAATTCAAAACTTAGTTTTCTTGTTCTTCCTAAGGAGAATCACGACATTCACTTAAAAAATATCCTAATAGTGCAGTATCTTTGTAGCAATAAGCTAAGGGCAAGAACTCTTTTCATAATATTCATAGTTTATTTGAGTTTACATAATACATATAGATTCGACTCAAAAGCAATTTATCCATTGGAGAACTTCCTTCATTAGTGGTCTATCCATTAATAGGTATAAGTTATATATAAAGACTTCTTTGGATTTGGCAGTCTGCGTTTTTTGATAATTCAACTTCATTTAAACGACCAGAAAAAATGAATTCTGAGTCATTGTATTATGCTATAATCAAACTCATGTACCATTTGAATAAAGAAAAGTATAGGAAAATATTTGATAAATCGATTCAATGAATGCAATTGTATTCGAATAACTAAATCGATCATTTGGAACATTTGATAAAATAAAAACTTTGTGAACGTGTTTCTGTATTTCCTTTTTGTTTCACTACCATCATGTTGTTATATACTGTAATATATACATAGAGATCGCTAAGTATTAGAGAAAACGAGAAAATAAGAAGATCAAGAAGAGTATACACAGCGAAACGAATATGATCTAATGTTATCATTACATATCATAACACTTTAGTGTTTATAAAGAGAAAGTTTCTTCGAACTTTCTATAGGATATTGAAGTGACTTCGTCATTACTTTTAGTATGCCTTAAGCAGTATTCTTTCCTTTCAATATCTATCGGCACAATGAACATTTCTAAATAAAAACAAAATATTTGTTTATATTTAGTCTAGTTTTCAAATAATATTAAAAGAATGAAATCTTATAAAGAAGTTAATATGAAGAATAGAAAAAAAAACTTACATTATTTTTTGTTGAATTAGGACTAAGCATTGTTTTACTATTACTAATTAAATCATTACTTATACTTGTTCGAAGTCTATATTCAAGTTTAATAGCATTCGATGTTAATGATGCACGTGATGGAAAATAATCATGTAAAATTTCTCGTTGTTGAAATCCCATCATTTTATAAAAATTAATTCCATCAATATTTGTTGATTCAACATATGCATAAATTTGTATAATATTTTCTAATTGTTTACATGTTTCAATCATTTGTAATAAAAGATGTTTACCAATATTAATTGCATGTATACTATGATTATCTTCAACAAGCATTAAAATTTTTAATTTACGTTTTTGATTTGAATCAAATATAGATGTTGCTAAAATAGCACCATAAATTTTTAATTTACAACAGTATTTTGTACGATATACAGTTTTTGATATATCAGATGCATCATATGCACGTTGAAATGTTTCACGATTAAATGCTAATGGAAATGCTTGATGAAAAAAATGAAATAAACGTTTAAAACCAACATCTTCTTTTGTACCATAATGAAAATGAATCAATGATGATGATTTAGAAGTTTTAGTAGATAAACGATGTGTATTTAGACGAATAGACATCGTCAATAATGAACCAAATCTGCATGTTGATTATAGTAAATCGATTTTATTTTATGCGCCAAAATGTTTTTAATTTTTGTTTTTTAGGAAAAAATAAAAAGCATATTGAATACAATACAATTAGTTATATTGATGATCTTTAATATTAATTATATATAGAATTAGTTTTGATAGTTTGACAGTTTTTTCAACATAATTGATGAAAAGCAAAATCGAATAAATATCATTAATATTGTTTTGTAGTGAATTTTACAATGAAAGTAGAAAGCTTACATTTGAGGTATATTATAGTTTATTCATAGACGAATAAAAATATTTCATATATATATATATATTTATTTACAATGAATAAGAAAGCATTTAAGAAAACCATTTTAACATTACTCTTTTGATTTCTAATTATCACTAAATTCCACGACTTAGTAAAAATTATTTAGATAATTATACGATTGCAACGATAAGACTAACGATGAAGTTATTAAGCACATGAAGAACCTACGGTGATGACCGATGTATTAATATCACTAGCTTTTTTGAGCATAAAGGAATCTGAATAATGGAAAAAAAGACCCGTCATTAACGTAGGTGCTTCATGCGTTCATTAGTCTTCACGATGATGTTTAAAAATGCATCCCTAGATAATTATAAAACAAAAAGGTATTTTTACATTTTGAATAGTTTAGTCTTTCGTCAATAGTAGCCTTGATAGATTTGATTTATTGGCTAGAATAGAATTATTGCTCAACGCTCAATACTTTCTTCTACAATATTGTTTTTACTGAAATAATTTTTGTTTTTGTGACACCAGTCAGAATTACTCAAAATAAATATAAGAAAAATAATAAATAGTTATATTATCATAACAATTTTGACATTTACACTTGAAATGACCATAAAAAGCGAAAGAAAAACATATACTTTGTAATTACATGTCTTTCGTTCTGTTTTTCTATTTTTGATAAAATTGACAGACAGTCATATTGCTATCAAGTGTCTTTGAAAATTATGAGAAGAATTCACTGTATGACCTAAAAATAGTATTATAAATATTAAGTTCTATAGCATTTCAATAGACATACATTAGAAAGAATGTTTTTTTTCTTCTTACGATAAAAAAGAAAAGCATTTCTTAAAATGAATTTGCAATTCTTAGATTATCTTCTCCAAATCGATCTGTGCACAGAATATAAATAATTAATATATGATTAATTCTACCAGGGTTTCCTTTCGGACACCTTGTATGATAGTTTGACATAGAAGAAATCGAATTTTTTTAAGGAGGCTAATCTCAATTACTTATCGACCTTTCTTCTTTTAAAAAATGGATTCTCTCAATTAATAGATGATACAATTTGATAGCTATTTTATTTGATATTTGTTTTTTTATTTACGTCCAATTTTATGCAATGTTTGTTTAATAGGTCAAAATTATGATGTGACTATTTCTCATATGTAATAGTTATAAGTTATATATAGAATTTGGAAAAATAAAAAAGAAAAGTTTTGTTTTTCTTACGTTTTTTATTAACGAGACATAGGATTTATCATTTGTTGATTTATGTTATTTCGTAATTTAAATATTTATAAATTAATTTTTCAATTTATAAAAATCTAGTCTATAAATCACACAATGTAATTATTTTCAATATCAATATAAAAGTACAGAACAAGTCAAAACTTCTTTGTTTATTCTGATAAGAACGGAAATTAACACGTTACTAATAGCTAATGTTTCTTTCTTTTGAATACGTTAATAGAAAGAAAAAGAACTATTTCAAATAGGTAATGTTCGCAATAGTGTTTGCTATTTTTATCATTCAATATTATCTTATATGTTCTTTTAGGTGATTACAAAAAGTAAATGTAGATGAATACAATATCATTACTTGTCAACCGTTCTGTCATATTATTTCTGAAATATACGACGAAGAAAAACAAACGTTATTCAAGCTTTAAATATTACTGTATATATTTCTCTTTCCTATTACATGTAAAACTTATATGTACAGGTGTGTTGTTATTTGATAGTATGTCATATAATTTGTTCGAACTAATCATTATCTATGAAAACTTCTGACGTTTGTGTAATATTTTTCTTATTAATATCTATTTCTGCTGATCAATGGAACTATGGTAATCTTGGACCAGATATTTGGAGTGAATATTATCCATTATGTTCTGGTAAATCACAATCACCAATAAATATTTTAACAGCATGTACTGTCTACAAAGATTTTCAACCATTTAATTTTATTTTAACACTTGATGAAAAACATTATTTTACATTAAAAAATAATGGACATACAATAATTAGTACCATTAATAATCAACATAAACAATCATCTATTGAATTAACTGGTAGTAATTTAAATGGAACATTTGAATTTGTAAATTTTCATTTACATTGGGGAGAACATTATAAATCAGGCAGTGAACATCAAATGTAAATATATACAAAAATACTAATGAAATTGTATAGATATATTTGTTTTTTTTTTCTTTCTCTTAGAAATGGTGTTAAATATGCTGGTGAAATACATTTTGTTTATCAAAATCGTCAAACATCTCAATTGGCTGTACTTGGTATTTTTATGCAAAGTCATTTACATAAGAAGAAATTTGTTTTTGATAAAAATGATGTTACACGTAATGAATGGCAAAAATATTTTGATAAAGCACAAACATTAACATCTGAAAATGATTCAATTTCATGTGGTTTAAATGTAACATCACTTATGGGTGAAAATTTAAAAGATTTTTGGAGATATGAAGGTTCATTGACTACACCACCATGTACAGAAGGCATTATTTGGACAGTTTTTAAACAACCAATTGATTTTATGGAAGAACAAATTAAAAATTTGAGAGATAATGTTTATTTTGAAGATTATCGTGGTCCTCAACCATTATATAATCGAACAGTTTATCGAAATTTTATTCATGAAACATCATCATCAATACCGGATTATAATCTATGTTTATTAGATTCAGAAAATAAGAAAACTATGGACATGTTTTCGATATTTGGTGTAATAAATTGTTCAATGTATTCATTTGTCTTGTTTCTATCGATTGTTTGTTTAGTTTTACTATTTATTGTATTTGTAGTTTTTTGTAAAACGCGTTCTTCAATAGAAAGAAAAAAAATTCAATAATAAAACAAATCAATGATTTCAAAAATAATTTCTAATCTAATTAATATTGGGTTTTTTTTTCCAACTTCTCTTGACTATGACACAAACAAAATAGATAATATTTTTTTTTACGTAGATCAACACCGAAAAAAAAAACGAACATTATATCTGAAGGTTATTTTATCACCTTCATTATATGTCATCAAGATGAAAAAAAAAAATAAAATTATTATATATGTTGCTTAAAATATTTAAATAGTAGGAAGATGATTCATCTTAGCTTCTGGACATTTTGGAACTTTTGTCAATTGCATTTAAGGGGTCTCCACCCGTTTCCCCCTTTACGATGTTTCTCGAGAACAGTTAGGCGAAATTTTTTGAAACTTTCAGAGTAGATAGATCTCGATGAGCAGAATAAAAGTTGTCATAGACTCAGATTCCCAAATGCTTTCTTTAGGAAGATTTTGGGACGCCAAGGGTCAAAAATGACTTGAAGTTTTCCCCCGCCAAACGGTCATACTACGCTCTTTTGGGCTGAATTTTTTTTTTGCAGCAACTAGGAATAAATCTGGGTGTGTATTTTTTTTTCTTTGAAAAATATTGTTCCTGAGACTCAGGAGAAGCAAAACACTGAAGATACTATCAAAAAACCATAAAAAAAGGTTTTTTTTTCAGATGATGCGAATTTTGTAAAGCCTGCCGCACTTCATAGGTAAAATGTTTTCAAGAGAAAAACACACACCCCAATTCGATCGAAGTACTCATAAAAAAAGTTTGAGCCTAATCGGTCTTACCGTTTAGGAGAAAAGGGAAGAAAACTTCAATTTTTCCCTTAAAAATTTGGTTTTGAGAAAAATGCAATGAAAGATAGATTTTTTGGCTTTTTTAGCATAAAATTGAGTTTTTCACATACAAAAAGGTGGTTTTGCCTTCTTAAAATGTGCTCATTAGATAGAGAGCATCTAAATGCATATACAAAACACAAAAAATGAAAAAAGCTAAAAATCTTGAGTCGGAAAAGGTGAGGTAGGGGTTCCCTTAATGTTGCTGATGAGTAATAATTCATATTGCGTTCTTCCGTCTTTCGAGTAGAAGAAGGTGTTTGAGTACTTCTTGTTCCTTAAGAAAATTTTCACACGTTCAGATATATAAATATATTGTATATTTTTTTAAAACAAATGAATGCAATGTTGCATCAAGTAGTTTTCTTCATATCATTCTTGTTCTTTGTGATTTATGCCGACCCTGCTCATGATTGGGATTATAGTAGACTGGGACCTGATGTTTGGTATGCAAAATATCCTACATGTGCTGGTCAATCACAATCACCAATTAATATTTTAACAGCATGTACAATATATAAAACTTTTACACCATTTATATTTGGATCTCGTTATAATGAACAACATAGTTTTACACTTAAAAATAATAGATATACAATTGTTAGTACATTCAATAATGAACCTAATCTATCAGCTTTGAAACTGACAGGTGGTGGTTTACAAGGTATATGGGAATTTGTAGGTCTTCACTTACATTGGGGAGAAAATCATAAATCAGGTAGTGAACATCAAGTGTAAGTATACAGATCATAACTTTCAAATAATTTCTTTGACGAGGAAAGTTCTCAAATTAATAAATCACTTTTCAGTCGAGACTAAGATGATGGAAAAAAGTTTAACAACTGATCTTTTGCTATAATGTTAAGCAATTAACTCAAATTCAGATAGTAATTTTGATAGCCAAATGGCATAGCAAGATTTGTCATAGAAATCAGACATGGTAGTTTTCAGCTACAAGAAGACTTTACCGGAGCTATTTTTTTTAACAATGCTATTTTAAGAAGAACAAAATGAGAAGTCGCTGTATTTTCTAAGACTTTCCCTGAAAAAGTCAAAGTATCACAATAACCGAAAAAATACATTTGTTAGTCGGTTTCCTGATAAATTTCATTTCCTATAAAATGGTATTATTAAAAAAAACGCTTATGTGACCTGAAAACTATCGCGTCCGGTTGTTAAGAAACCTTGCCATCATAATTCATCCATAAAATCTTGGTATCGAATGCATTAGATAGAAAACTCTATTAGCTATTAAAATCACTAATTTAGATTTGAGTTAATTACTTAACATAATAGAAAAAAAATCAAAAATACGTTTTTAGCTAACTTTTTTCCATCGTCTTATGTACATTATGTAGATCTAAATGAGCTATGAATACTCTAAAAAGAACTCGTGCTCTTAGTTTAATGTCACAGAGACGTGTCTCAATGAGAATAGTTTATTATGAATGTTTTCGATTTGTTGATTTGGTTCTATCCTAAAACAGGAACAGGAAATTCGTCAATTTATATGCATAATGTAAAAAACAAGCTATTATCATAGTCATGAAATTCGAAAAACAGTTTTTCTGATGTTTCTGAGGAAGATCGGGATATTCTCCTGTAAAACATACCGTAAAAGTGCAGTATCTCTGTATCAATAAGCTAAGGACATGAACTCTTGGATTTCTCTCTTTAATTTTTTTCTTTTGTGTATATAGAAATGGTATTAAGTATGCAGGTGAAATTCATTTTATATATATGAATCCTAATACACGACAAACAGCTGTACTTGGTATATTTATGCAAAGTTCATTTATTGACAATGGAACACCAAGCAGTACAGCTTATTTCATAGATGAAGACGTACGAAAAGAATGGAAAAGATTTTTTGATATAGCACAAACATTAAAAACAGAAGGTAGTACAGCTATAATGCGTTTAAATTTAGTATTACTTATGGGCAAAAATCTACGAGATTTTTGGCGATATGAAGGTTCATTAACTACACCTCCGTGTACACAAGGTGTTATTTGGACTATGTTTAAAGAACCAATTATTTTTATTGAAAGTGAATTTCAAGCTCTTCGACAAAATATTTATTTTAAAAATAATCGTGGTTCACAATCATTATATACTCGAAAAATTTATCGAAATTTTTTTCGTGAAACATTATCATCAATACCAGATTATAATTGTTGTCCAAGCAGAGATTGAAATAAAATCATCTGATAACTTAAAATCTTCATTTGAAAAATTTTATTATTGAACATATTGAATGTTATCTTATTATTTTGTTTTAATCGAATTTTATTTTTTTAGACAAGAAAAAACGAATATTTTTCTCTGATTTGAATTCTTACAGATCTTTCTATATACTTTGAGATGATTTGTTATTTATGTCAATATATTGTAATATAAATTAATTGATTCATCATTTATATTCTATAATATCAGTAACAATAGCGACGAGTTAAAGTTTAACATTTGTATCATTGATTATATACAACAAATAGTTATCTAACAATTAAGATACTATTCTAATAATAGATTGGAATGAGGAATGAGCTAATTCCATTATTATTTTCGCTATATTTCTCGAAATCTAATTCAGAATTGCCGGTTTGCTAGATTAGATCAAAGTTATTGATCTGGCTCTTACATTTCGATAGTCAAATGTTAACACATTGCTTTATTATTCGAGAGTGCTTCGATAAATTCACTCGATTTCTGCTACAAATACTTGAAAGAAACGTCAATTTAGTGTTGTAGGACTTATATTGATTGAGAGCAGAGTCCTTGCCTGTTATTGTAAGTATCAATGATTGTCTACATTTTCGTTTTATGCCTGATTATTTGTTGTTTTTGCTATTATAATTACTTTTTTTTTCAAATATGCTAAATAGTAATAATATTATCAAAAAAAAATATTGTACTAATTTTAGCCTCTCTTGTATGAAAAATATTTATAATGATTGTCTCTTTATTTTAATGGGTTATTATGTGTAAGAATTTGTTATTATCTTATTTTAAAATGGAAAACATTAATTGATCTCGTTTGACTTGTAGGCATTTCAAGTCAGAAAAAGATAGCCTATTGGTAGCTCTGATTTGATCAAGTATTATACTTACGATATCAAATGAAAATTATTGACAATGATGACTTTATTTAACTCTTTGATCGAATAATTTTTAAAGTAGCAAGTATGAAAATATGAAATCTTGATATCAAAAGACTAAAAAATTCTCTTAAACGATGAATTGTTGATTAATTTACTGGACTCAGGAATGACACATTGATTTCTATTTTTTGCTTCCAAGAAAAATTCAAGACAAATCTATTTCAATACACATATGATGCAAACATAAGTTGCAAAAAAAACAAAATTCGAATAAAAGTTTTTTTTATACATGGTTAGATAGAGCTCGATGAGTTGAGTAAGAATATCTATTTTATATTTTTATTTGAAAGTTTCGATAAAAAAAAAAAATCGTTTTTTGTTTCTAAAGCACGTTTTTCATACTGAATAACTGATACATTTTTTTCGATTCAAAAACAAAAAAAATTTTTCCATCTCATGCTGATTGTAAAACTAATATGTTTAGACTTGCCATGAAAAACTGAGTCTATGAGACTAATTTTCAAATTAGTCTCACAGACTTAGTTTTTCATGGCAAGTCTAAACATATTAATTTTACAATCAACATGACATAATTATCCAAATTCTATTGAATTAGAACAAAAATAGAGAACTCAACAATGGTAAAAAATAAAATTGATTGATGTATTTATAAAAAAAAAAATAAGTTATTTATTTATCATACATTTCCTTTGTATAAGTTAGAATCGAATAAATTTATTTACAAAATATCTAAAAATATTCTTAGTATCTAAATGTTATTCAAATATCCAAATGAAAATTGTATCTATGTCAAATATTTATATTCACTATAATACAAATATTATTCTTATGTTAAGTTAAAAATAACCATTCAATACCTGTAAACTTGTACAACGATGTTTACTATTCGAAAAAATATGACAGTCAGCATGTTTTAATATTTATAGTATCCGACAATACATATCCAGCGATAATTACATTTTAGTCTATATATTTTTTTTGCATTCGTTAAGCTATATAAGATGCACATTCAGTATTAATTTGTATGTATCGCTTCGTTCTGCATTATAAATCACCGAAAACAAAAAACACGTTTTTTACTTTTCTAATTTATACGTTAATCAATGGGTTATTTATAACACCTCTAGTTAATAATGAATAAAAGCTTACCTAAATAGAAATCGTATAAAAAGATACTATGCAGTTCTAAATAAAGTACAATACAAATATGAATTTTTGAATTTGCACTTATCAAGGACAACAATACGGATTTTCATCTTCTATTCACACATAAATTTTACAGGTTTTTTTTTTTGTTATTTATGATATGTAGGAAATAATTATAATAATAATTATTATCATCTATAATGAATCTATTTGCACAAAAAATAAACATTGTAAGAAATAGTTCGTATATGAAATAATATTAAATATCGATTTATTTATAATATTCGGCAATGAGGCGTACTTTTGATCACCAATCTTGTTTTTCGAATCATATTTTTTCATCATTTCTTCTCTGATATTTCTATGCGATACACATAACTCCTCCTTGACATTCAGGACTTCGTTTTCAAAGATCAAAAACAGATTAATGTATGACGAAATTAAGATTAGCGGATAGGGGTGCGTATACATTGAAAAATATTATTCCCTATGTTAATGTTGTAGTATATATGTTTACGATTTGCTTAGTAAACTATACTTAGGTTTTTATCCAGGCCAACGATATCCTTAATTAATTAGCCTGATTAACAATAGGGAACACCATAGAATAAGATTGACGCTGACATGAGTCAAAAGCAATACGTATATTTTATTGACCAATTACACTGTGAAATGAATGTTGAAAAAAGTTGACGATCAAAAATATTGTCATTTGAGACAAATATATGATATGTTTTTTTTGTTTCATGATAATTTCAAGTCTTCTAAAATATCTAACAGATGATATTTAATAAAAATATCATAGTAAAATTTGAAGTATTATTCTCTTGTAAGAATGTGGTATAAATATATTCATTCAATAAAGCAAATCAACATGTAAATTTTGTGTAATTTTTATCTTTTTATTATTACACAATATAGTTATTTACTTGTTCTAAAATATTCCATTTGAATCATCGCACATTTATTACGCATTCGAATATTAACAAGATAAAAAAAAATAAATGTATTGACATATTACATCTTATTTTGACTATGAATATCTAACAGGTGCAAAAATAAAAGTAAAAATAACTGAATCATGAAAAATCCAAATATCTGTTTTCGCTTATTCATTCAAAAACCTGTAATATCCATTAATGAAAGGAGAACTATGATTGTTTAAATCTTTAAGGTAGCATCTGTTAAGAACATAATAATCAATTAAACAAACTTTTAGTGTATCTTTTGAATATTTCTTGGTAACGATATCATTTATTATCTACGTCATTGAATAGATATATAAAAACAATAGTCCTCTATTTTTATCGAAGAGAAAAATAGCAGTTACTCACCTGCATAAAAAAAAAGAAGCTAAACACCAATCACTACTATACTCAATCATTTATTTATATCATCAAGATTATAATTTATCGTAAAGTAAAGCTGATATTTCTATTTAACTAACACGACGATCATCATGTATTTTCGTTGGGTATTAATAGTTTTTATATTATTGTGTTTAATACATACTTCTTTATCAGACGCAAGTCATTGGGATTATGGTCATGTTGGACCAGAGGTTTGGGAAGATTCATATCCAATCTGTCAAGGAAAGGTTCAGTCACCAATCAATATTTTAACAGCATGTACTGTTTATAATGCATTTCCCGCTTTTCAATTTTCACCTGCTACTAATGCAACGCAAAATTTTACAATTACAAACAATGGCCATACGATTACAGCTACACAAGTCGACAAAAATGCATTTCCTCTAACATTGTCTGGCGGTGGTTTAAATGAAACATATCAATTTGCTAATTTTCATCTTCATTGGGGTGAAAACTATAAATCTGGCAGTGAACATCAAATGTAATTAAATATTCGTTAATGAGATTTTTTCAAATATTCTCTTGTCTTATGGTAGAAGATCTTCTCTTAATTATTTAATTAACTAAGAAGTTAAAACTTTAAGTACAATATTTAATCGAACATAGACTAAGTTTTTCATGATTCTAAATTGAAAATCAAGAACGATTCAAATGAAAATGATTGTTTTAATTTTTTTTTACATCTATAAAACTGCTTTCAAATCGTAGTTTTTCGCAGAATGTTTTTTTTTTTTGTCAAATAATTAGTAATTAAAAAATAAGAAATCTAATGGATGATACTCTTGAAACATTTGTTTGCTTGAACATAACAGAAGACTTCTTGTGAGCATCTATTATAGGAGAAACTTAATAGATAGGGTTTATTCTATTTTCAGAAATGGTGATAACTATGCAGGTGAAATTCATTTCGTTTATTCAAATTCAACAACAAAACGAAATGCTGTACTTGGCATATTTATTAAGAGCAGTAAACCAAATGTACATACAAGAAGAAAAAAACGTATAACGAGAGAAATTAACAGCACTAATAATTCAACAGTAATTGCATGGGAACAATATTTTTCAACAGCTGATCAATTAAATAGTACAAACGACACAAATTTAATCAGTTTACAATTATCAATTTTAATGAATACGAATTT